TTGAGCAGCACCGGGCTCTTTGGTTTTAAAAGTATTTCGACCGTATTGGATAATGCGCCGGCGGTCACGGTCAACCGTTGGGCGATCGGAGTGTGCGGTTTTTGGGGCCGACCTTTTCTAACCCGTCCTTCCTCGGGGGAAGGCAGCATCGCTGCTTCCATAAATATGGACATGCTGGTCGCCTGGGGGAAACACCTTACTGCCTTCACACTCCTGTCGCAGAAGTACATACAACTTTACCCCGCGCTTGCACCATGGTCTACTTCGATTCCGGATCATATTTATAAAACACTGATAGGGTAAACGTCAGGCGAACATGTGTCGCAGAGGACAGTACAACTTTACCCCGCGCTTGCACCATGGTCTACTTCGATTCCGGATCATATTTATAAAACACTGATAGGGTAAACGTCACACGGGCGGACATGCCTCAGTTACCCCGTCGATGGCGCACTTGCATCAAAGCTATCGAATTCGGTCCATAACTATCCAGGTTCAAGCAATTCGACTGGTTCAGCACCAACTAAATTATTAAGCCATCACCTCCAGTGTCTGGACATATCTCACCTACTATCTCTACTCCCGTTGACCGAATCTCTTGCAGCTGCAACCAATGTATGATTGGTACACAAAGTAACCGAAAAAAGATTGACTAATATGCATTTATCCCATATTCTGAGCCCAAGCCATGATATTTCATCGGTTTATAGAACCCCTGGAGCTTGTAAGCGTATCAGTCAACGAGCATCGTGCTTCTTGTGTTAATCGGACAAGAGTGAACGGGACTTCATGTTACTATCACTAGAGTTCAATAATTTTCCGCAGGGAACGGTGGCAAAACGCGTGAGGAGCTTCCAAACACAAATCAGAAACGAACAACCCTCATGAGCGTATATTCGATGCATAAAGCGACCCACTTGTATCAAAACAGAGGAAGCACTCAAATCTAACCTTACCAGTATGGTCGCGTAATAAACAAACGTTATTTCAGATGAAGGATATTTTGTGGCATAAATCGATTTAATAGAACTCACCCTCTTCACAGATGCGAGACAGAAATGTGGCAAGCATCTCGACGTTCAGACGACCTGAAAACTCTGGGGTTTGAAGGCAGTTCAGGAGATCCCCGGGAGTCCTATATTCTTCAAACAGTTGCATCTAGTATGAGAAGGGAGATTAAAACATTCAGAAACCGGTCAAATTTGACGGATAACTAGCTAGGAATCTTCGTAACTGAAAAACTTGACGAATTCAGATTAGGTTAATATGGATATAACATTGTGCACCAAGTTTACAATGGCCTCAACTGAAGTTCAAAAACCTTGAGCACCATTAATATCAAACAGCGTGAAACAAAAGTACCAAAATAACCACAGCGCAAAAGACAGCACTTCGCCATGACAAAAGGGCACTATAATATATATAT